TGATTATTTTATTTAACAATTCGAATTTTTTTTTAATCTTATGTTATTTGTACTTTTAATATTTATAAATATTGCAGTCTTAAATGACAAAAAACTTTAAATTTGACGAATAGTTTCTGAGACAGCAGATTTCAAAAAAGTCGTATGCTTAAAATTTTAGTTTTCTGAGTTTGAATAAATGAATTTTTTAATTTTAAGCAAATATTTTTCGATTCACGTAAAATGTTTTAGATGAATAGCAAAATGCTTAAAAAGTGAAATCAACATTAAGGGGTCCAAACAATTTGAACAATAGTTTTCCACCCCTAATCTATTTTGATGGTGAAGAATGCATATCTAGTCAAAATAAAAGTTAATTAAAAAAAGTAGATTTTGCAACTTGAAATTTCCTTTGTACTAATCAATCCATATATTAAGGACAAGGCATTCAAACCACTTCGATTGAGTCCTAGAGCATGAAAATCCGATCATTAGATCAAATGTTATTCGAGAATTCTATTTTACTATTCGGTATTTAAATTAAATTCCTGCATTTAGGATTGCATAACTTTAAATGCCAGGGGAGCAGCAATTAAATAAAACTAAAAAGAAAATTGTTGAAATTTTTATCCAAAATGATATTTTTTAATTTTCAAAATCGGAGAGAAAGAATGGACCTGTCTCTAACTAAATAACTACTTGGTAAAGTTTAACACCTGTACTTTGTATGTACAATAAATTGTATGTGCGTATGAACGTACAGACATTACATTCACAGGTAAATTGTGAGTACATAAGTCTACCTGTGTATGTATTCACATGCGTAAGTATATGTATATTGGTAAGTACATACAGAATGCAAATCTAGGCATGCATATAGAATGAATTCATATACATTTATACATAGTACATTGTAAGTACAATCAATTCATGTTAAACATATGAATACACCAATATATTCATATAATGTAGGCTTTTTAAGCAACCATTTAGAATAAAAATAACTTGTCTTGGCAGTAGGCATGGAGATTTAGTTAAATTTAAGCACTCTAGCTAGTGGGAAAGGAGTCATGATTTTGAATGGTATTATATATTTTGGCAGAGTTCAGAAAACAGTTGTATGTTGTAATGTCACAAGTACTGCTCGAAACATTAATGAGAAAGCTATCGCAACTGTGATTGATAATTTCTATTTATAGCGGTCAGAAAACTATTTAAATTTATGTAATTAATAGGCAAAAAACTTCTTTAAGTTGATAATTTATTCCACATTTCTATGGATGATAAATGTCTATTTGCCGATAAATTGTATTTGTAACTGTCAAGAAATAGTTAAAACTTATGTTTTCAGTCAAAAAACGACGGGAGCTTGTATTGTTATCGAAACCTGAGCTCTATTTGTTTTTAAGTACTCCAGCTATTTTTATAATGGCCAAAATTTTATTTGACGGCGAAATCAATTTTGCGAAAAAAATCACGAAATATGTGGTTAGCATTCTTCAAGAAACGATAAAGTTTTAGCTTCGAATCTTTATGAAGATCCGAAGCGTTTGAAACATGTTCATAGAATTTAAGTCAAAGCAATAAATATAAAATTTTCTTAGTGATAAGTTCGGTAAGATATCGAATTATATTTAAAACATTTAAGGAAGGTCAAATTTTAAAAAATTGAGTGCTATTTTCTTAATTTCTCTAAAAAAGTAAAAATAAATCTTAAGTGAAATCTGATTCTAACTGCAATATACATGTATGTTATATATACTCCTATTTTTACTTTGATCGAATGCAGAAAGACATTTTTAAACAGTGAAGAGAAGTCCAGCTTTTTAATTAAAACAAATTCTCTGATTTTTATCCAAATTTTCCTGGTTTTTCCAGTATAAAAAATTCTCTGATAATTTCATGTTTTCCCGGTGGGTGACCACATCTTTTAAGCATAAACAATTTATGTTATTATTTGATTATAGACTGTCCATAATACCTGTATAGAGAAGCCACAAAGCAATAACGAGCGCTTAATAAATAAATATAAAAATACTGATTCATATCAATACTGATAAGGTCACATGCTGACTTATAACATGTGAAAAGAATGAGGTTAACTTACAAATTCTAAAATCGATGCATTGAGAGAAGGAACAAAATACAAATATAGCTTTTCCTAGAATATCTATTTCTGTTATTATTTGTGTTCGCTTCCATAATACTTGGCTAGAGAAACCACTGAAGCAATAACAAGCAATGGTGGTAGCATAGTATCACAATACCAATTGTTTAAGATTTCCTTTTTTACATTTATTTCTATGATTTGAATTTAAAGACGATTTAATTTAATTTTATTGATGGAAGCTAGATATGAAATACTCGTGAACGATACAAAGCTGGAAAATCCACTTTATAGAATTTTTTACTATAGACTTAGAACACAACTTTACATCAGTTAAAAGCATTTCTCTTGCTTCATGATTTACCAATATTCTTTGACAATCTTTCGGTGTGAAATAAGTCAATCCATCTTTAATAATTCATTAAAATAAGATGTTTTGTAAGCGGTGCTTTTAAAAATTTTATAATTGTTTTTTTTCAGTTAAAAATTAATTTTATTTTTTTCTCTAATGCCCGTTAAATATTTTCATAGATATTTGCTACTGTTTTTAAACCTCTAAAACTGTTTTTCCCAAAACAATTAAAACAAAGATTACGTTATTTCTTCTTTTAGAATTTGGTGATTAATCAATTCAACTTAATTATTTTAATTTAGAAAATAATTAGCAAAGCATTCATGTTTTTACAAAAATCAACATAAAAATAAAAAGTTATTCGAAGGTATGTTATATCATGATGTATTGATATGTCTCAGTGATAATATATCCCGATATAAAATTTTTCACATTGCTCAATTCTAAACTCTAGTTTTTTATTCCAACATTCAGAAGAAGCCTATATATGTACTGGATTACTCTCCACCTATCAGAAAACAGAGGAGATGCTGGCGATCAACATTTGTAACTAACTTCTTCACTAAATATTTCTTGTATCTAAAAACGGATTTCCTCCAAGAAATACACTATTTCCCAATATGAAAAAGATTGTATCTGAGACTTTAAAAGTAAATCATTGCCAATTTTATATAGAATTGTAGTAAGACGTAAAGATTAAATAATATTAATTTTAAAATCTCGGAAACTTTAAGAAAACGTAAATAGGATGACAAGTGTTGTAATATATTCATTTATAGAGTAATTTCCTGTCGCTGAGAATAAAGTATTAAGCTGAAATTTTTTCTCTATTCAAATCTGCTGCAATACAATTATGGGGAAATACATGATATCGACAAAGAAAATGAAGTAAGTGAGCTGCAATAGTGGTTTTTATGAAAATTTCCACTGAGCTCACCAGAGTGCTCCCGAATTATCAACCCCAGTTAGGATATTTAATACTTCTAAAAAAGTTATAACTAATTATTTATTAAAAATGTATCTCTATATATCAATCTCTCATTTTAAACTTGATTTCGTAAACAAAGAAGTTGAGGCATTAAATATATTACATCATAATTTAAATAATAAGTAAATAATCAATTAGAGAAAAGGTATGCCTTATAATTTATTAGTCAGCAAAAATTAAACTACAGAACAATTGAACGAGAATTTGATTTATAGCGTGTTGCAAGGAATTAATGAAAACTTACAAAACTCTAAGATCTATGCATTAAAACAAGGAGCAAAATACACAGCTTTTCCAATAATAGCTATTTCTGTTATTATTTGAGTTCGTGAGACTGTCCATAATACTTGGCAAGAGAAACCACTGAAGCAATAACAAGCAATGGTGGTAGCATTGTAGATACATCACAATACCCGTTGCTTAGTATTTCCTTTTCTACATTTATTTCTATGTTATGAATTTGAGGACGATTTAATTTTATTTTATCAATGGGAGGTAGGTATGAAAATAGTGGTGAACGATACAAAGCTGGCAAATCCACTTTATTAAACTTGTTTACTATTGACTTAGAACATAACTTTACGTCAGTAAAAATTACATCCCTTACTTGATTATTTTCTAGTATTCTTTGACAATCTATCGGTCTGAAATAAGCACCACTATCAATAAGATGCTTGATGAAAGAAATACAATCTTCCCCTTGAGAAAGAGCCCATTCTTCAGTTAAGTAGTTTAAAGGGGTGTCACCATTTGCATCAATAACATTGACATCTTTTTGGTGGCTTACGACGAGTTTAAAAAAATCAAAATTCCAAAGACCTTCAGCTGACAGATGGACAGCAGAATTATTTTCTTTATCATCAATATCAGTAAAAGATTTTATTTTACCCAGAATACTTTCAGCATTCAGTAGATTTTCATCATCGTACGAAACTAAATATTCATGGATATAATAATAAATAAATGTACGGCCGTCATTGTCTTTGATATCAGGATTTGCTCCTGCTTCTAATAGCATTATCATTATATCAGTGAGTTGATTTCTGCAAGCTAAATACAATAGCGTTTCGCCTTCTTTATTTTTAATGTCTAAATTCGGGTTTGCTTCCAACATTTTGCTTACTGCCCAAGTATAACGTTCCTCAATACCGAGATGTAGAGGTGTGTTTCCATCAGTATCTTGTATATCTGGCTTGGCACCTGCTTCAATTAACTTTTCAACAATATACAACACTCTCATACCTACGGCATCTCCTATTGCATAATGCAAAGCAGTCCATCCTTGCTTGTTAACAGCGTTGATTTCAGCATCTTTCTTTATCAGAAATTCTAAAATTTCTTCATTTGCACGCCTATTTCTGAAATTCAAGTCGCACAAATCGTCTTCGTGTTTACATAGATGTCTGTAAATGTCTCTAAGCGGTCTGAACATAGCAGCTAAACATAAAGGGGAAACCCCGACATTAGTTCTCGATTTTATGTTCGCTTTCCTATTCACTAGATATTTTACAAGCTCTAACTGTTGATTTACAATGGAGTAATGCAAAGGTGTCCAATCATCTTCATTCTTTTCATCTACACTAATACCCATATTGAGAAACAACTCAACAACTTTCTTGTTACCATGACGCGCAGCAATGTGAATGGGTTTTTCCCCTTCAGAATTTGTAATGTGAGGGTTGGCTCCCTTTTCCACGAGGAAATTTATAACGCTAATTGTGTCTTTTTCGGCAGCTATGTGCAGTGGAGTATTATTATCTGGACCATCTGGACCTAATGAATTAGGATCTTGCCCAAGTTCAATAAAAGTTTTAATAACTTCTACGTGACCATTTTTAGCTGCAATGTGTAGAGGTTTGGCAACTCTCCCAAACATTTCTACATAATCAGCACCTTTTTCGACAAGGAGCTTGACAATATCAACGGCCCCTGCACATGCAGCATGGTGTAACGGTTTCCAACCCTTTTTATCCCTTTTGTTAAAATCAAGCCCGAGATTCAAAAAATACTCTATTACATTTTTGTGCCCATGTTTTGCAGCCAGATGCAACACGCTATAATTTTCATAGGTTTTTGCATATATATTTGCCCTTTTTTGAACTAAATATTCAATCGTTTCTAATTTACCCCCTATTGAAGCCCAATGAAGCGGTGTCCATTTTTTACTGCTGTGCTCATCAATGCTCATTCCAACAGAAATAAAAAATTCAATTATTTTAGTTTTTCCTTCCAACGCGGCGACATGAATAGCTTTTCCATAATCACTGGATTCAACGTGAATATTGGCATGGTTATAAAAAAGATACTGAACCATTTTCAGAAGACCTTTTTGAGAAGCATAGTGTAAGCAAGTCCAACGGGGATTTGTATTTAATTCATTTACATCGCATCCTTTATTGATATAATACTCAACTGTTTGCGTATGGCCATTCCCAGCCGCCACATGAATAGGTTTCAGGCCATCATTTTTTTTGCAGTAGATGTTAGCACCATTATTAATCAACAGTTTAACGACTCCTATATGGCCGCATAGCGAAGCATAATGCAATGGAGTCCAGCCATCATCATCTTTGTCATTTATTTTTAATCCAAGGTCGAGAAAATATTTTACAACATTAACATTGCCCGATTTGACTGCCAAATGTAGCGAAGACTCACCATATTTAATTTTAGCATTTATGTTAGCTCCGTTTTCAATAAGATCGAGGATTACATCCAGATTCCCGTTTAATGCTGCAAAATGTAGAGGCGTATAGAAATTTTCACTGACATCTTGAACATTGGAACCATTATGAAGAAGGAAATTTAGTACATCTCTGTGTCCAAATTTTGAAGAGAAATGAATTGCTTGATTACCATCTTCATCAGCAGCATGAATGTTGGCTTTATGTTTCAAAAGCACCTCAACTGTTTCAAGCTTTCCCTCAGATGCAGCTAAATGTAATGAGGTGTAACCGAGTTTATTAACAGTGTCAACATCTACTCCTTTAAATAAAAAATAATCCAAAACTTTTCCACAACCACTTTGCGAAGCAATATGTATGGGTTTCATACCTGTATCATTACTCTCTGCATGGATATTAGCACCATTATCAACTATATATTCCACAAAATCCACATCATTGTTCTCAGCAGCATAGTGCAATAATGTCCATCCAACTTTATCAGTTTCATTCGCATTACCACCTTCACTGAAAAAAAATTCTAGAATGTTTCTGCGACCAAATTTGGATGCAATATGGCAGTATTTCGATCCTATATCATAGACTTCAGCACTCGCATTTGCCCCATTTCTGATTAAAATCTTTACGATTTCTAAATGTCCTTTTTCTGCCGCGTAGTGTAAGGCTGTGCTCCCCTCCCTGTCAGTTTCACTAACTTCAACTCCTTTTGTTAAAAGCAATTCAATTATATCACATCGGCTAAACAGAGATGCTATGTGTATGATCTTACTGGAACTATCTTCTAATATGATTGTATTAATATCAAGGCATTCCTCTAAGAGGTGTTCAAAATCTTCAAGCTTTCCGTGTTTGATGATAAACATTGCTTCTTGTAACATTGCATCACAGAACACATGTTTGTTTTCCATTTTAAAAGCAAATTCAGAGATATTTTCCTTGGCAATTATGCAAAGTTAGATTTCAATTGTTAACATTTCCAAACCCAGAAGTGATGGATTTGTGCAATTTTTTCTGAATCAGTCTATCACTATTTACGTTAGAACGGTTGCGATGGTTGAATTTTGAGAAAATATTTTTCTGACGATGCTTTTGTACCTGTTAAAAAAAAGAGAGAGAAAGCTATTAGTAAATGAAAAATTTTACCTTTTTTTAAAAGAAGTATCACCGTAGTATATTGAAACGTGTTTGTGCAGTATTTAACAGTATGTATAAAGCTCAAAACAAGATAAATTAGCAACTGAAACAGAGCACATTAGGAATCTTTCTTTTTGTCTTCAAATTTTTACATATTGTTATTCTATCCTAATGGTTTAAGCGCCACACCAAAAATTTGATAAATAACCATGTAGATGATATTTTAAGATCCAAAATCAGACTTGATCCAAAATCAGACTTTCTGTAAATTAAGATACTGTTGTACTGCGGATTTAGATCATAGATTCTTGATCTTAAAATTATGGTGGTAGTGAAATCTACTAAATTTTTTAAGTCAAGAGTCAAGATTAGTTAAAGAAAGTCACATATTTTCAATTATCAAGGCCTATTGTATTGATTCCGTTTCATTTTGAACCATATGAGCATACATATTCAGAAACATAAACCAAAGTAAAACACCAAATCTAACATATCTAGTTTCCCTTTTGGAACTATTTTTAAAATAGGAGAGTAGCCTTTTTTGATCGTCCTATGCACTCGTTGTCCCTATATCAGAACTCTTACGCACAAGCATTTCTGAACTTAAGAAACATGCCAAATCAGACTCTTCCTTTAATTATTATTTCAAACAAAATAAAAGCAGGAAAAATAATCATAGAATACTTCGAAACACAAAGCTGATACTCGAAGTTTCAATTGACAAGAAAATGAGTAATACTTATGAATATAAATTTATTTTCGATTATAACAATTTAAAAGTATTTTCAAAAATTTATTTTATGCTCTACATTGGATATCCATATTTATTTTTTAAACAGTCAATTTTAAAAATAATTTGATAAACATAAACAACTATGCTTTTACATTTATTATTTAAATTTGTAATCACACTTTAAGTAAACTTTTTCTATCTCTACTTTAATCAACTTAGACGAAATATATTAAACTAAGATAAAATTTAAAAATCATATTTGGTATTATTGGTGCTTTTCAGGAATACTTACATAGACTTCTTTTTATTTACATTTCGTAATTTAAAATTTTCCATGTACACAACCATTACAGTCTTTTTATTTTGATTACACAATAAGTTATAAAAATTGCCTGAAAAGTTTCTAGGTTTAAAAATAAATTCCAAAAAAAAAAAATTATGCATGAAATACTAGAAGATAATTAAGCTATGGAATTCTTTCAAAATAAAAATAATTTTAAACTTAAGTACTGTAAACTTACCTAAACTAAATAAATATACTATGGAGATCTGCGCGTCACAAACATAGACGTGCAGAATATGAAACAGAACAAATGTCAACACAAAAGTCTGAAAAACAATATTTTTCATAAAGCAATGTAAGTTGTTTGCACCAAGAATTTAAACTTTCGCTCGATCGTAAAAAGCTATTATTAGTAAAAGTACACACTAATTTTTTCAAGACCTGATGACGAAGAGGACTCGCGAACCATTACGGAGCTTTTTGCGTCATCAGTGCACTCATAGCTTATACCAGGGGTGGCCAAGCTCCTTGATAGTAGAGCCATTTTTCAAAATTTGAAACTTTTCGCGAGCCGCAATTACATACGTATTTTAAAGGTGTGCAAAAAAGGTATAATTTTTTTTTTTTTTTTGCAGAAATTATATTTATAGAAAACATATAAAAAAAAGTACAAAATATGCGTATTGAATTCAAATATTAAAAATTAAAAACATTTATTTTACTTTTCTTGATTATTCCTTAAAATTTGGTGAATAATTGGTGACAAAACTTCTCAGTAATTCTTTGAGATGTTGGTTAGTTAATACTGATCGGTGTTTGGATTTCACGAATTTTAAAGTGTAATAAAATGATTCACTTAAGTACGTTGTTCCGAATATTGAAATAATTCGACAAGCAACCTTTTTTAATTCAGGATACTTCGATTCTGGTACGAATTTCCAAAATTCAGTAATCGACGTCGACTTACATTTTGATTGTGGAGCTATATTAATTCGAATTCTCCAGATGTTCTTTGGGTCATAACTATATTGGAGATAACTCATCTTGAATTATGTTAATTTCAAATGGATTCCGAAATAAATCAAGAGACGATTTAAAATATTTCAAGTCTTGAAATCTATCTTGGAATTCCGTCAATATTCCTTCTAGCTTACTTTTTCTTAGAAAAAAAGAAATAAAATATTGGTTAATCGGTCGGGAGTCGGTCGATTACGCCGCTGTTTATGTTCGTTCGCGTAGTTTTCGAAGAGTCATATCATTCTTAACTTGAACGGAAATGAAATTTGTTATAACGTTGCACTTAGTCTTTCATATTTGTTGTCAGGAATTTAAAAGACATTTTGAAACACGTACGGAACGATAATTTTTTAAAATATAATAGCACAAAAATGAAAATCGAACTCGGGTACATTTATCGAGAGCCGCAAATAATCCTTCAAAGAGCCGCATGTGGCTCGCGAGCCGCAGTTTGGCCACCCCTGGCTTATACGGTAGAGAAAAAAGAAGAGTTTGCCATCAAGAAATATAAATAAAATGTTATTTAACCTTTGTTTAGTTATGCAAATAAACAGTTATTGACGTCAAAGATGTTTCATTAATTTTGGTAATAGGCACTAATTGAAATAAAAGATTCAGCTATGAACTAAAAAGCAAAATTAATGGAGAGAATAGACTTACTCGTTACGGCAAACCTAAAAAATCACAATACAAATATTGACACCAATAATTCTTATTTTTAGTAATGGGCACTATTTGCATCATTGTAATTGGTACAGTTTTAGGCACTATTTGCATCATCGTAATTGGTACAGTGTTAAGAGTCACAAAATAAATTCTTATACAGGTACTAAGTATTTTATGATTTGGTTTTCTAATCGCAACTGCGCCAATATCTGTACAATTTTATAATAGATGTTTTACGGCCCCTAAAAGATCTAAGCAAATGAATTAAGTGTTTTGATTGTGGTAAATTTTAAACATAAGTTGCCTCGAGGTATTGTGCCAGATGATATTGAATACAGTTTATCTTTATTTTGATTGAGTGAACTTGTTATACTTAACCTAATAGCATAGAGCCAATGAGAAGGCCTGCAAATAATACTAAATACATTAAAAACCTTGGAATTACGTTAGCTTTATTATTTTTGTCGATCTAATTTTTTTCTTTCTATGCCTACCTGGGTTGAAATTTGTCAACTCAGGTGTATTAGGGCAGATTTGTAGGCCACTTTTTCAGGGGTACCACATTAGGTGGGCCAACTTTATTCCCACAGTAAGGATAGATAGTACAGAGAATGAAAGAACATTCTTGTCTTGCCCGGGAGTCGAACCCAGAATCTTTCACACGCAACAGAGTCCGATCGGCAGTGTTAAAGTTGGTTGTCTTAAAGTTTTGTACTCGATTCTGCAATGTTGATTAATTGATAGTTATTTTTTCACCCAGAAAGAAGGATGGACATTTAGCTAGTAATAAAATAAAAGACAGAGCACATTAAGAATTTGCTTTTTTGTTTCCAGATTTTCCCGTATTGTTATGCTTTCCTAATGGCTCGAAGGTCACGTCTAAAATATACTAATTAAACGGCTTAGATAGCGTTTTTAAAGTTACGAAATCATGCACAAAAACTTAATCTCTGTAATTTTAAGACATATTTTTTTCCGACGGACTTAGATTCATTTTCCATAAAAGTGTGGGGTAGCCTTGCAATATAAGTAAATCATGTCCCAATAGTTTAACCAGAAGAGTTATTTATTTGCCATTATTTACCTTAATTTGTTTCCCCCTTGATGTCAATATCAGTTTTTTCCTTATTACGCTGTATCTCTGGAAATATTTAAGAGAAACAAATAATGTTTGCACTCTTATATTAGATATTATAATACACAAAAACAATTTCAAACAAAAGATAAGTTTATAAGATAGTTTCGTCCCGCAGTGGACTGATCACCGAAGTCAAGCATCACTGGCTCCGGTCAGTGTGCGGGTGGGTGACCACTTGGATCAGTCTGCGTAGGGACCGAGGATGCACGGTATTGGTCCTCGTTAAACTATTCTACCGTAAAGTGCTCGACTTCGCTTGCAGGTCGTCGGGCTACCGAAGCAGGGGTTCCATCCCCTCTGCAGGGGATCAAAATTGCGATGGCATGTCTTCGGATCATCCTCAGGGATGTTTCCCAGACAGTCGCCAATAGCCCCTTGTGCAGCTCTACTGCGACGCAAATGAACTACAACAACAACAAATAAGATAGTTTCTCGTTGCGTATCCCGCCATTCTTCAGGCAATATTAAAGAAACATAAGTTGCACAGCCCGTGATTTATACACAGACGCATTTTTTTTTATTTTGTTTATATAACTGTGCAACCCGCTATTTTCCCATTTATGGTGCTTGACTTTGCGCACAGACCGTTTGGGCTATCAAAGTTGGGGAACCGTCACATGTGCAGGGATTAATAATGTGATGACTTGTCTTCGGATAATACGCAGTGTTCCCCAGACAGTCGCCTATAGCCCCTTGTGCAGCTCTACTGCGACGCAAATGAACTACAACAACAACAAATAAGATAGTTTCTCGTTGCGTATCCCGCCATTCTTCAGGCAATATTAAAGAAACATAAGTTGCACAGCCCGTGATTTATACACAGACGCATTTTTTTAAATTTTGTTTATATAACTGTGCAACCCGCTATTTTCCCATTTATGGTGCTTGACTTTGCGCACAGACCGTTTGGGCTATCAAAGTTGGGGAACCGTCACATGTGCAGGGATTAATAATGTGATGACTTGTCTTCGGATAATACTCAGTGTTTCCCAGACAGTCGCCAATAGCCCCTTGTGCAGCTCTAGTGCGACGCAAATGAACTACAACAACAACAAATAAGATAGTTTCTCGTTGCGTATCCCGCCATTCTTCAGGCAATATTAAAGAAACATAAGTTGCACAAC